GCTGCCGTTGCAGCTTCCTCTCGTGTTTCTGCCATAGCTGTCGCCACTGGAGGAGTACTTGGTAGCCGTGGCTTAGTCAAGTGATTCAGGGCCGGTGTCTCTTTTGTAGCCATCCTAGTATCATTGCAGATCCTGTAGCGGTTTTCTACCTGCATTTGCCAATTCAATGTACAATCTCAGGAAATAAAATGGAAACAAGAAAAAGACCCCTCCCCCCCTCCTTCTTCTCATATACACCAGAAGGAAATCCATCTAAACAAGCCAAGTACTTTCTCGGTGGAATAAGAGATAAACACCAGACGAATAGAAGTCATGTAAAAATGTGATTCTTTTCCTGTTCAACCTTTTTCCTAGGTATTCAAGACTGACCGACCATGCATATGTTACTAATTACTCAGATAGATCCTCCAATTCACCAGCAGCATACAGATCCTCAAAGACAGTTATTCACCAGAGCTTTGCAAGCTCAGAATGAGCATGTCAGTTTGGGTGAAAACTGCTGAAGGGTCATGTGTACAAATCAATATTAAGAAAACTTGCTTACCTTTTCAAGTTTGCCTTGAGAAACAAGCCTTCTCAACCTGGAGCCTAATAACTTCCTAAAGTTTTGAGGTGCGTTGTGCCTTTTCTGCAATTTGTCAAATGATCAAATTAGCAAACGTAAAGATCTCTCCAATGACTGACGGCAAAACTGACTTGAAAGTGGCTCCATGTATAAACAAGAGAGAGAAAAAGAAATGCACCCTTCTAACCTCAATAAAGCTGAAAATCCCAAAAATATCAACTCCATTCACGTTGTTTATTGTTGAAATAGCCTCGAAAACCATTGCATTATATCTGAAAAGGAATAAGAACAGGTACCAAATAAATGACAAAACAGTCCGTTAGAAGTTATAAACGGTCAACTCATTGAGCGAAACAGAAATCAAAGATATTACAAATGAAAAGGTCACGTGCAAGCAAAATCCACTGAGTAATCAAACCTAGGGTTGTTCTTCACATCCACTGTGCTGTTTGAGAGATCGTCCACGTCCATTGGAGAAGGTCCATTGCTGACAAGAGACAGGGCAGGACTAGAGTCGGGAGTATTAGGTGTTAGGGAAGCAACTGAAGGAGTTCTAGCGGCCAAAGTAGGCGGAGTTCCGGCAGCAGCAAGGGCAATAGCAGCGGCTTTGATTTTCGGTGTCCTTGATTTCTCTCTCGTGCTTTGCCCACTCGAACTAACATTCAAATTACGCCATTTATCCTTGGAATTGCAGGAAATGTGCAATAAGTAGGCAGAGATTCGGTCAGTAACTAGAAAGAAGCAAACATGGCAACAGGGTTTGGTCGTCCATACATAAAGTTTCCATTGCTTTCCACGTCTATACTGGCAGAAAACCGGGTTCTAAGTCTGGTTTTGCAAAACCTCAAACTCTGACAATGACAATCAATAGCTAAAGCTCTTACAAATTTGCTATGCAAATACAATTCCCCTATGTGTATCTAAACGACAGAGACGCCAAACATACTTCCAAGACAAATGGACAAGAGCACAGATGTCCAGAGACAATGGCAGATCAGAAGACAATAACACAGAGAAATCTAGCCTGCTACTGGAGATGTTCCCATGAACAAGGCTCTTAATTTCAAATTCCCAAGAATCCATTGTCACAGAAGTCACTACCACGAGAAAATTCACATAAAAGTGACCAAGAAACACGAACAATTAAAAACTTTCATCCACTAATAGATAAAAATTATCCAAAATTCGAAACGCGAACAAAGCAACATATCCACCACAAAGGCACAAACCCCCAAAATTCCAAAATAACAGAGCTAGGGTTTTGTGAATTTGGCGGATACCTTGAGGTCAATGTTAGAGCGTTGGATGAGATGAGGCGCGAAATCAGGATCCCTAAGAATGTTCTTCCACTTTCCGGAACCGTGCTTGGCAATTCCGGCGAGGAGCGCCTCCTCCTCCTCCGCGGTCCATTTCTGCTTCTGATTTCCCATTTTACCTCTCTCTCTCTCTCTCTTCTCTCGCCTCCGCGACAGACTTCTCCTTCTCTCTCTATACGTACACACACATGCGTGTATGAATATACTTGTACGTATATAGCTTCATATCATAACAGAGCAGTTTTCTTCGTCGGTCTTTCGAGCTATGGTTCTTTGTACAAGAAGACGCGCACTACGCCCTCCCCCGTTATACAAAAGTCAAATGTGTTGACCATAATTGATCACAATCGGCTAATCACAACCGTTCATTAGTTTCAAGATATCTGCTCTCGCCCGCACCTGATTTAAACTCTACAGTATTTTCCCGAGAAAATTGAAAGCATAACGAAGAACAAAAATCGATGACGAGTAAAAATACATGAACAGTATCAAGCAGATCAACATCGGGTATCCGGTTTACTTAACCGGGGATTTCCTCTTGTCATTATCTGAGCAGAAGGCGTTCAAAGTTCCGACAAAACTCCTCTTCTTTGTTCGCCACCCAACCCCTTAATGGTTGAAGAGCCGAATTCTCCATTGTCGGGTGGAAAACCATAAACCCTAATCCGGTTTCGGTCAGGTCGGACAAACTAACTTTTACCGCCGATTTTCTTTGTTAAAAAACCCCGAATTTTCAGTTTTTTTTAAAGGAAGAAAACCCCCCTGCATTCATTCTTCGGCTACGTGAAAAAACAAATAATTAAATATGCACAAAATTTAAGAGAGACAAGAAAAGCGTGGAAGAGGAAAGGATCGCTTTACAACCGAAGCAAGAATTTCCCTTCCCGTCGGCCATCGCTGCGAATCACTCGGGTAATCTCTCTCTCTCTCTCTCTCTGAATTTGTTGGGGGGTTTTGTGCTGAATAACATTTTGTACTTTCCGGTGAATTTCCCCCCTTTCGTTTTGCTTGTTGAAACTCGATGCTCTCAGAAGGAAAGATTCCATCCTGTTCCCGCAAAATCTATTTTTCTTCTGGGTTTTGTTCGAATGCCTCAGATTGTTGTTAAAAGTCTTCTCTTTCCTTAAGCGTTTGAACTTCTCTTGATGATTGATCCGATCATTTCTGGACATTCCTCTTGTGGGTGATTCATGTGGTGCCAGTGGATGGATACTGGGCTCAGAATCGAAGTGAAATCGGTGTTTCCTTATGCGTATAATAAGGGTGTGTATAATTTTTGTAGAAGAAGGGTTTTAGGGATTTTTCTGGGTTTCTATTGTTCTTCCTAGCAAATCCTATGATCATGTCATATCATATCTCATATGGAATTCCTCTGTTTCAGCTTATACGAGTTGTTGTTTGTGTAGTGAATTCCTCGACGAATTTCTTTTAGTGTTTTTTCCATGATGTCATCTGTCAGTCAACATGCTCGACATTGTGAAAGTCTTAAGCTGCAAAACTTGAGAAATCCTTTAGCTTCGTGATGATCAGAATGAAATGTCTACAATTTTGGTGGTTGACTTGGTCAGCTTGAGCTAGCTAGAACCTGTGTTCTGCCCGTGTCCCTGCCTGCGAATTAGTGGACAACGAATTTCCGTTTATGATGACAGGTTACTCAGCAAGAGAAAGCATTGTTGAGAAGGGGCAGAGACACCATTGGAGTATCCTCAACATGGATCAGAGTATGGACTTATGTTTCATTTCTTTTCTCCTGTGACCCATATCTTGTAGATTTTGCATTCTGAATTTTGTCGGGCATGTTTTAGAATTGCTTGAAGTCACTCTGAGTTGTTTTTGTACTGCTGCATTTACCATTTCGTAGACAGATGTTTCAATAGGTGATGCTTTAAGTGATGAAGCTGAAAGGTATTATTCTACTGGAACAAGTAATCAAAAACTTCCCTTAGATGTCATCAGAAAAGACTTTGTTCACAGTATTCAACTCGGGTCATGGGATCTTTGCAAAACCCGTCGTAGCCTTGAAGCGGCAACTTTTAGGGTTTACCTCGAAACGGGGCTACATCTGTTGAATTTCTTACGTGTTGTTCAGGAGTCTCGACAGACATCGAAGAACAGAACAAAGGTGAATATTCTCTCATTCGCAAAGATGAGGAGACGGAGTTGGGAATGTTTGATAAGCCCCTTCCTTGCTTCGGTTGTGGAATAGGATGGTTCTCGTGAGTTTTTCCTTTCTTCTTTCTAGCATTGTCTTAATAATTTCCCGTTTGAAAACCAGATTTTCTTCTTTGCCCGTTTTTCTTGTAGGTTTCTTCTCGGGTTTGTATGCCCTTTAGCCTGGTACTTTGCAACAGTCCTCTACTTCATGAGCTACTATCGAAGAGATCCGAGGGAAAGATCGGGTCTTGCGGCCTCTGCAATAGCGGTGAATCTAACCATCTCTCTCAAGCTTTTATCTAAAAAGAAGCGAAGAACGAAAAAAATACTCCGCACATGTACTAACACCAGAATTGATGGTTTTTGGTCATTGCAGGCTTTGGTATTTACCGTTGCTCTGATAATCACGGTACTTGTTCTCGTGTTCTCACATCACTAGCACACTCTTTTTACGAATTCAAAGGAGATGACTCTAAGACCGAGTGCCGGAGCTGCTCTTATTTGTATATTTTCCGAAGTAAAAGATGCTATAGAGTTCTAAGCCTAGATAAAGAAGCATCGGTATGAACACTTCTTTCGCTTACTTAGAAAAATTCATACTGGCTTGTCAAAATAGAAACTTCCTGGACAATTCCAGGCATCTTCCTGGATAATTGCATTAGGATGTAACCGAAGTCAGAACAGGAACAGGTTAAATGTCTGATTGTGTTTCGTTATTGGGGGCAAAAGACCAAAGCCGAGGAAAACCCTTTTCCTGCGGACAAGCAAGAGAATTTTGATTTGTCATCTTACCACAACTGTTACTGTTCTTGACTGATCCCGCAACCTCCTAAGAAGCTGGTTAATAAGTTAACATCAGACAGTGTTTCTGTCTTGTCATCTCTCCCTGATTAATCGATCAGATCTCGAGTATTAGCATTAAAAACTCGGTTCAATTACAATATTACAGAATTTTTCTAAAGCATCCATGTTTGATCCAGCAGAATGGAACTCAATCTTGCTGATCTTCGATCTCATCGAAGAACAACATCTTCTGTAGACAAGCCAAAAACTCTTATGTCTGATTCTGGTTCGTTCTAGGGCAACGTGAAACCGGGGGAGTTATGGGAACCAGTCTTCTTCAATGTCGCTATCGTTGAATCAAAAGAAACTCACCATTGTAGAAGAAAAAATTAATATAACCAATTGGGCATTTCACTAATCGGTCGACGTAAACGACACGGAAAGATTTTATAATACCAATCTTCCTTCAACACATTATATAACGAACCCAGAATCCAAAACCCATTACCGCAAAATCGAGATCAAGCATGGAAGGCAGCAGCCAAGAACCCAACGGTCGTCATCTTCATCATCATCATCCCCATAGCCAAGACGATGGGCCGGAGTGGTTCGCCAAATACCTTAACCATCAAGGAGATTGGTTAGAGAAAACCAGAGGGAATCTAATGGTTGCGGCCACAGTGATCGCCAGCATGAGCTTCCAAGTTATGGTGAATCCTCCCGGCGGAGTCTGGCAAGACGACAAATGCAACGGCGGCGGAGGCGGTGACCAGACCGGTGGGCTGTTCACCGGTCGGAGGAACGGGGTCTGTACGAGGATAGCAGGAACGTCGGTGTTAGAGTACGGATCGAAGCGGACGGCGTATCTGGGTGTCGTGATAAGCAGTACGGTATCGTTCGCTGCCTCCATGAGTATTATCCTCCTCGTCATCAGCGGTTTGCGTCTGAGGTAATATATATATATATATATATATATATATATACACACGACATTTAGATTATGATTTTTGCTTGTTAATTACATAATTTTTCGTTAATTACATAATTAGTGTTTCTAAACTTTTTTTATATATATTATGTGATGTCCGGAACCCAATTTCTAAACTTAATCATGTGGTCGCATAAAATTAATTAACAGACTGCTGATTATTTAACAGATTCGAGTAAACATATGGTTTTTATATGATCATGAGATGTAGCCCGGATTCCATCCAAATCATATCAAACTTGTTACAGTTTTGGAGATTTTTTAATAGATTTCTAAATGAAACTATATTATATGCAACTATTATTAAAAAAAATGATTCGTTAGAGATATATGTAAATATATTATCATGGTTGACTCTACTGTAGAGTTGATTTGTTGGATTTAGGTTTGTTTTATTATATATATATATATATATAAGGTTCTACCAAAATCATGCAATTACGATATTTTATCAGACGATCCAAAGTCCAACGAAAAAGGGTTAAACTATATGGTGGGCCCACAAAAATTTAGACAATAATATTAATATACATATAAAATATAAAAAAACTAATAAAAATATATCATCACCAAAAAAATTATATAGGGGTAGATTTAATTTTAATGTGGAGTCATTCAATAATTTTATAAAAAAAATTATAAATTTTATAAAAAAATTAAAAAATTTAATTAATCAAATGGGGCATGTGTTTACCGGTTCGGTCCGCCCTTGGATTTGTAAGAATAAAAATTTCCGACAGTATACTAAACAAAATAGTTCCGGATTAGAGAATTGTCTTATATATTTAGTAGAATGTTCAAGCCCTATATCTTGACAATTAACAAGTCCCATATAGACCTATGATTCATAATACTATTTGATACTTGAAAAATATCATCTTGTTGTAGAAATTAAGTTGGGTACAAGCAGAATACCCGTCTAAAATTCGAATCCATATTCAAAAAAATTCAGGTTTCAAATTTCGGATATTTTAGATTTTTTCTGACATTCGTGGATATCTAGACCTTGTAAGTTAATTAATTGACAATTTATTTAATCATTTATTTATATATGTAGGAACCGGATGATAATGGGGATACTGATATTGTTCATGCTAGCGGCGGTGATATGCATGGTGGGGGCGTTTTTCTTCGCGGTAGCGTTGGTCCAATCGGATGACGCATTTATAAGATACGTACTGTTGGTTTACCTAGGGTTTTGGGTCGTATTTCCTCTTCTAATCCTCGTCATTCAGCTTATACGGTTCCTCATCTGGCTAATCTGTCTGATTTGCTGCTGCAAACGCCGCCGCCGGCCACGTCAGCCTCCTCGGATGCGGGCACTGTCTCCATTTTCCGACCAACCTCGTCCTAGTCCTTGACAGAATACGAGGTTCAAATGTATGACTTCCGTATTCGGGATATACTTTTACTTTAATGATCGTATTGTACGTATATATATACGATCGAGGTCCATGACATTAATATAGGGTTGGGGGAAGACTATACTATATAATGCTTGTATTTTAGTTTTTTTTTTTAAATGTTTTCTTTTGTATTTAGATCCACCTTTAAATATGGTACAACAGGAAATGAAGGTTTTGTGTCCTATTTGCATTTGCATGCATATGAAATACCCTAGGCTTTGAATCAGTGATAAGGCTATCATTATGCCATGGACCATGTTGCATCTTTACTATATATATATGTATGCGCATATATGTACGTGATGTGCCTGGTCTTAACGAGAAAATGTGCATAATCCAAGACAAAATAAAATTAAAACTATAAGGTTGCCATTTGCCAATGGAAGAGCATCCATCCGGTGGAGAGAAAAAGGCAGCTCACCTCATATAATCTTTTAAATACCAAAGAGAAAACGCTTATTCACGAAGGTCCCTTGAACCGGGCCATGCCAATACTTTTAACCAGTTTCGGTTTACATAAACCGGTTTAGTAAGCTAAACCATGCATATAAAACCTTCTCCCTGAGAAGGAATCATCATGCTGAACCTGTACGGACACCTACCACCAGCATTGCACAAGAAGCTGCAGAAAACATAAAGCAAGCAAGGAGAAACGCCAGAAAGGTTTTGACATGTACCACCACCTTGCCCCCTTTACACTCCTAACTCTTCTTCTTCTCCCTCTTATGACAATGTCTATAGAAATAACATCCGAAAATCCCCATCGAAAGCAGCCGTGGCATCGAAATCATACCGTACAAATCGACATTCTTGATGGAGCAGACGAAATCCATATTACCCACAAGACTTCATATGATGGAGAGATTCTCCCACCTAATAAAGAAATCACACCCCCAAAGAAACTCGATCCTAGCTCAAAACATGGCTTCATTCTCCAACCCATTGCTCATACAATACAACCAAGATATCATATAATCATAATCCAGGCCAAGATTCAATAACATACAAGAAAAAGATGAAACCTTTAGTCGATCCACATCAAGAAAAACCACATTTTGTGCACTCATGAAAAAAAAAAGAATAAGATTCCTAAACAATTTTACATGACTCACGGTGTTACAACAGCCTTTTTTTTTTTCCTTCTTGTTTTCCCCCAACTCTTGGTTCCAACTCTAGTTAGTGGCATTGTAAGGCATGTGAATGAAAACTACATGACCTCAATGAACAAAAAATCCAGACTAAAAGGAAGAAATATAAAAGAAGAAAAAAAGAGCAAAAGGAAATGTTGATTTGCGAAAGTTACCAATTTACAGAGGAATCCGACAATGATCCAATGGGGTGAAAATGCCCATTGCTTCACCCAATTCTTTCTCGGGGCATTCTTCTTCTACTCAACGTGTTCTTGTACAGATTCAATTTCCATGAATGAACTGAACACCCAACTCTTGAATTCATCACGTGTTTCTCATTTTCAGAAGCTGCTTTCTCTTGAAAACCAAGAAGGCAACAACGCAGACCTGCAGCATGGCTGCAAACCCGGCAAAGACGATCCCCACCGTCTTCCCAGTGTTAAGTCCACTGCTTTTTGACTTTTCTTCGAGCTGCGGTGGAGGCCCGCCGATTCCTATTGGAAGAATCCTTGCCGTTCGTTTGCGGAGGCGGAGACGGAGGCGGAGACGGAGGCGGAGGTGTAGGTGCCGGTGGAGGTGGAGATTCCGGCGGAGGTGGAGGGAGTTGTGAAGGTGGAGGTGGCAGCGGCGGCGGAGGTTGCTCCGACGTCGGTGGCGGTGGCGGCGGAGGGATAACGACGACGTCGAGTGGCGGAGGTGGCGGCGACAGGATAACGCCCACGTCGAATGGCGGTGGCGGCGGCGGGATAACGGCCACATCGAGGGGTGGCGGAGGAAATAAATTCATCTCCTCAAGCCGAAGCGGCGGCGGCGGCACATTCTCAATCGGAGGTGGCGGTGGCGGTAATGGAACTCCGGTTCCTTCTTGTGATTCGACGATGAGGAAGCCATAGATGGCGAAAACGAGGCCGAGAACCAAAATATTCACGTTCGGATTTTTCGAAACAAAAAACAAAATACCCATTTCATCAAATTGAATCACTCGGTCAAGGAAACGATTTCCTTCTCCGGAAACTGGGATTTGCTTCCGGAATCCCTTCTAATTGTGGAATCCGGATTTGGCGAGGTTAAGAACGATGATTCCGTCCACGCATGAAATCGAGGAAATAGGTATACGATTCTCGTCCCTATTCCCTGATTCGCGAAATCGAACAGCCCTTCTACAAATCCAGAAACAGGAGAGACGAGGAATAAGTAAGGACAAAGAATAATTCTGAATCTGGGTAATCGCTGAAGTCGCTCGTTGATCCGGAGAATCAAAGGAAGCGAGCAAGTGGGTATGTCCGAATTCGCCAAATTGAGATGGGCGAATCGAAATCGGCGGAGTCAGGACATACAGAGACAGAGACGGAGACGGAGACGAAGAAGATGAAGAGAAAGAAAATGGGTGTGAAGATGGTTGAACAATAGGATCATTGACCTAGAAAGAATGGCGAAAAGGGGTAAATTTTCCGGGAAAATGCAGAGGGGAGAGAAAGTAGTAACGGATTAGGGCTAAATTTGGGGGAGATCGATGTGGGATTTATCGGAGACGAAATATAATATAGATTGTTGTGCAAAGCTGTTAATGTTAACTCTGTAAGAACACCGGTTTTTCATTCCCAGTAACAATGGACAATTACTGTGCCAATGAAAAACAAAAACAGCTTATTTTTAAATTCGATTTGGTTGGGGTTTTTACAACAATGGTTTAGTTTATTTTTTTTATGCGATATTCAACTCATATATAATATATATTACTAACATATATTATATTCGGTTTCGATCGGTTATCATCAATCACCTGATCATTATGTTTAATGGACCTCGGCCCATTATAATTCCAGCCCATATTTACACTGCCTACCTATATACAATTAGCTATTGTCCTTGTGGGTAATCATGGGTAGGGGTTGGAAAATTCTTTTGGTTCGATTTGTTTTTTAAATTCAAATTCGTTCAATTGAACCGGACAAAAAAAAAACTAAATTAAACCAACAATTATCTAGTTTTAATTATATCTATATTAAAAAAAAATAGACCTTAACCAGAAATATCTAAGGACTACCCTAATGATAGCGTTCCTTGGGCCTCGTGTAGCTTCCAAAGCCCTCATTGGAAGTGATGCTTTGTATTTGCCTCGAGACAGGAATGGGCTTACATGGGCCTTTATAATAAGCGACACATCGAATCAACTTCTCGGCCCATAAAAGCCCAAATAAGGATAGCCTCTGTTACTGCTTATTGAAGTTGTCTTTTTAAAAGAATATTTGATTTCGGTTTGATTATTTTGATTTTATTAAATCATACCCAACATATTATTAGAATTCTTGAAATTTTATTTCTGTTACTGTGTTATATTGATAGTACTAGTTACGGTTATTGAGATTATGGAATTTATTTCCAAAAATATCAATGAACAAAGGCAAACAAATGGGGATGGAGACAGGTGGCAAATTTGACTAATAAGGAAAAAACAGTAAAATTCAGATAATGGTCTCTGTTGCTTTGACTGCAGTATTTTTTTTTTTTTTGGTATCATTGTATTATTTGCTCCGTAAAGGGAAATTATAACATTATTGGCAGATCCATTTTTAACTAATTACCAATTAACCATGCCTAAAATAATGTGTTGTTAAATAAAAATTTGTAATTTCGTATTGAATTTGTGTTAAATATGGAGTAATATTATCCATCCATGATACAGTGCATGTCATATGATGAGAATACAGGCAAATTATTCCATGCTCCTGTTGTTTGGGCCCATCCTCAAAGCCGTATTATCCCGTAAATAACTTGCTGGCTACGCACGTATGTATGTATATATACATGTGTGTGTGTGTATAATATATATATATATATATATATATATATATATATGTATAAGTATGTGTATGTTTGAAGGGTTTTCTTCTTCTTTATTTCCTTTTGGGGACTTATTGCAGTTCCTACATGTAGTTAAATTCTAAAGTTTGGCCATGAGAATGTGTCTATATAGGAAAATAGACAGTCTAATATTATATTTAGGACCTTTCAATTATTGAACATGTATGTATATGCATTTTACAGAATTTCAAGACCGATTTTTATAATATTATTTGTGAATATTTTATGGATTAATCACCGTTTGTTATAATACCGAAAATATACACGTAAAATGTTTACCATTTCATATGGTTGATTTTCTTCTTTTAAGAAAACAGCTAAAAGACAATTATTTTTATAGAAAAAAAATATATCTCGGTAAAAACTTCAATTATATACGGATCTAAATCAAGACATCTAAATAACCTATATACGTATATCTTTTTAAATTTATCATTTTTTTAAAAATAAATTTAAAATATTTTATACATTTTAATTCTAATATAAAAATATTATCGAATTTCTAAATAGTTAAAAGTTTTTTTTCTTTTTTTTTTCCTATTCATTTGTAAATGAAAATTGTAATGCAATACCGATTTCAATCACTGTCAATACAAGAAGAGCCCATACACATGGACTTTGAAATCAATGATATATATATTGAGCTCTCACTTTCTTTGTTCATCATTTGATGGGTGCTCGTTCGTTTGATTTTAAAATGTGGAACATGAAAAAGATAAGACCATTAATTATGACACAAAACTATAGCTCTTGTCTTAATCTATCCGATTTAACGTATAACTGTGTATATATGTAGAGTGTATGTATATTCATAACCAAACAAATCAATTACTGTATTTTTCTAAATATATGTCACTGTGGGATTTGACATGCACCCTATATAAGAAAACAAAAGTTAGGTTTTTGATAATTACAAGCTATTTAAGGAATTGAATGTAGGTCATATATCACAAACGTGAGTTTGTATAATAACCTATGGAAAATATAAATTTATTTCAGGAAAAATTCACAGGTGAGTTGGTGTGGACTTCACCTTTCATACGAGAGATTGCGGATTCGACTTATTAGCCACTCGTCTGTCGTCCGTCAATTACGACTGATTCACCTTCTATATGTGTATCGTGGATTCGTGTGCGTGAATAAGATTACTCAATCAACGTGTGTCTGAAAGTTAGCAATTGGAATTCCCACGATTAAAAAAAATATAAAAACTTGTTTCACATCTTGGATCCGTAAAATAAATAGATTGATATCGACGCAACAAGATTGCTATTTGCTAATGACCATAAAACTTTGATGGTATTTTTTTTCGATAATATTTGACCCAATGGGATAGGTTGATTGGAAACACTTTGTACTACCCAACCACCAGGTCACCCCATTTGAGTAACTTTGATGATATTTATATATAATTGACGTCAATAGATGAGTAGTTTATCATGTTAGATATTTTGTTTTAATTTATATTGCAACTCATAATAAATCTTTCATCAGAATCATATATATATCACCTAAAATAATTAGTTTCACGTCAGAGATTATTAACATAAATGTGCAGTTTTGTGTTTTTTTTCCCTCGTTTAGATATATTCGAACTCATTTGGAAACGTAAAGGTTATAAACGATTTTCAAATATTTTGATTACTACACATCCGATGTATCAAAATTTATTATCTATATATAAATTTCAACCATGTTTTTAAATTTAATTCATGTATCCAATACCTCAAAAAAAAACGCAATCTATAATCCTATATTCAAACTCTAGAACAATACATATTTCAACGAAAATAATATTATCAAATAAATTAATAAAATCTTTAAAATACAAACTCTAAACTGTACAGTGTACATTCATTCTCATCACTTATTAATTTATAATACTTGGAATATCTAGATCGGATTGAAAAAAAATAAAAGCATCGTATCACATTAAGTAAAGAGACTCGAAGATCGAGACCATGCAGTACTTTTTTTTTTGTTCTTAAGACAGAAGAAATAAATATTTCCAAAAAAAAATCATTAATGTATACAATTCACTTTTACAAAAAACAAAAAGGAAATAAATATTTCGTTTGTTTAGCAAAAAAAAAAATGAAAGGAAAAAAAAGAACCAAAGGGATCGGGGCCGAGCCAAAAAGGGAAAAGAGGGAATGGCTCCATACGTCACCGTTTCGTAATTCTCAGACAAAAAGCTGCAACCACGACAATTAAGTAAATCTTCTTGTCATCAAATACAACATTCTCTTTTTCTTTTTGTGTTTTGTTTTCTTGTTTTATTGTAGAAATTAGAAAGAATGGTTTGATTTCTGTTGATCTCAACAATATTTACAGAATTTATAAATTAAAAACACTATTCATATTAATATTAGAAAAACAATAACGGCCTGTGTCTAATTACGAGATAGATTACCGTTTTTATTTTCCTCGTCACATATATTTCTCCTCCATTTCCTTGAATATACTTTGTAAAAGGAAAATTAGCATTAAACATTAAGGGGCAGTATGGTCAATTCATAATCGACCATAGATAATCAAATATTCAAATGTGAAAACTAAGAAAGCAATTTGAACCGCACTTTTGACCATTCTTAGGAATCTATTAACCGCTTTAAAATTATCGTAAGATAATGTTTTTCTATTAATATATCTTACACGACTATGTGAAACTTTGGTAACGTACGGATCTATTATCTATAACTATGTATAAACCATTGCTAATGCAAAATAATTTAGATATTTCTCAAAAAAAAATTTGATGAACTTACAAAATATATAAACATTTTCTTGTTCGTTTATAATTGGTTCGTATAGTTCCCAAAATATCAAGTCGTCCAAATTTTATATTAATTAAAGAGTTAGCAAAACAATCGATCCAAGTTATCTAGTTAAATGTTTGTTTTGGTATAAAATATATGCACTAAAATTAACATATAGATTGTAAAAATGACATGTTAAATCGTTGAAAAAATATATCAGATAACATAAAATTAATTGCGATAACCCAATATGATCTTAATTTCATTTGAAATAAAAATATCAAACTTATATTTTTAGATAAATTATTTTTATTGTAAAAAATCATCTAAATTTTGATTTATAAAAAATATTTTTTTATAAAAAAATTATGGTTAAATTTTTAGTTATTCTTATATCGCACACATTGAGTTATGTAAAATGTATTTCTCGATAATATGATATGGTATATCCAATCATTTGTACTAAATAAATATTAAAATTTAAAGTTATTAAAGTTGAGGTATTAAAAGGAAATTAAAATTAAGATGTTAAAACGAAAAATTATATTAAGGATTCCATTTGATATGAAGAAATAAAAACACACATATAATTCAGTTAAATGTCGAGAATTCACGGAGGATGGACCAAGGGAAAAAGAAAAAGAAAAAACTATAATTATTTATTTTCATTTATTAGTGAAATTCGTGCAGGTTAGGGGTCCCACATATGACGTGGTGGGAGGATTTTTATTTCATATCAAAAGACGAGTTCACACGTGTACATGCGCGACAGCCACAAGACATAGGCGGACACCCGTCACGTGCGGGCTAAAGTCATATCCACTTGTTTTGGTCTCCCTCTTTTGTTCTGCTGGTAATCGCCACGTGTCTCCTTATCATTGGTCTTATTTGATCTTCAGGTCTCATCTCTATTATATATATGGTTTTTACGAATTGCTCCATCTTTTTTTTTTCATTTCCTTATATATATATACACACACACACTCTCGAGGCATACGAAATTATGATTAATTTTTCGTAATACCGTATCGTTCTAGTTCTAGCTCATAAAACACGAATTTCATAATTTTCGTATATACATAAAAATATCTTCGTGGAAGAAATATAAGAAAATTATATGCTATTATTATGTTTTCATGATCATTCCCCCATACATATATAGAATATGCAATTATTACAAATAATTGATCAAAACATGCCTTTTGATTATCCTTGAACAAAAACGATATATTGGGTATTAATTGGACCGACTCCTCCATTGTTCCACCATGTCACAGCTGGTTTCAAATTTGTTTTCTTTTAAGCATCCCCACATTAGCGATGCAATAATAATACGCAGAGACGATGTTCATCCACCAATATATATATATACAGCAAGACAAATATATATATATATATATATTACCATTTATATGAGACCAAATTTCTTTGATTTATCATTGACTAGATTAGATTTGGAAATTTGGATCAACTTTATTTAAAACAGTTAACCTAAACCCGACAAAAAAAGATATATATATTTGACATCCATTGTAAATTTAACATATTTTAAGATCCAAAACACGTACTAAGGGAAAACGCAATGATTCATATCTCTGCTTATAAAATCGTCGATGCTCTCTAATGATTTCGATGCATATATATGTGGAAAAAAAAATTGACTTTCAAAGTGTTTTATCACACACCATGCACTATCCGACGAAGGCATGCACGTGCGAACACAACTGTCCATGTACATATACACATACTAGTATAAATGTATAGATACACACATACGAAATAATTAATTAATAAAAGAGCGCTGTATTTATTATGTGTATGTGTGTGTGTGGTAGGGGTTGAAGTAAGCCCTAGTTCACACGTAAGATAGCTGGTTTATGCATGAGAAGGACGAGTCGTGCATGGTTGTTGAGCGACACAGTATGCCCCTATGATCGATGTTTATTAATTATTATTACGTAAAATGTGATTATATATGCATGCAAATGAACGGTACGTACGTATTATTGTCCACGAAGCTTTATGAAGTGTAGCTGTACATGTCTTGTATCGATTCGTACGTGACGAAACTTCTTGTCGACACCCAAACAACTGGAAAACGAAAGATCTGTTTTCCTCATTAATTTCTTTGTTCAATTAAAACATTTCCCACCATCGAGAAGTATGCATCGAATATTTAATAAAGGGTTCTTACGTATCATTCATGGACAATTGCATGTATTTTATAATTTATATATATGTGTATGTGGGCACTTGCATGGATTGATGGATATATATATATCAGTCATATATATTTCCATGGTATGTTTGTATTGTTATCAAACAAAAATAAATTGTTTCTAAATAAAATCCAAACAACAAATGTTATCAACGGCTATAAATAGTTGTGAGTGCGTATATAAACAAAATTTTGGGAGATAGGTTCCCAATTTTCTTTTTTTTTTCTTTATAAATTTTATAGATTTCTAACGGTCCATTGAATTTTTGTAACAAAAATGTTGACCCATACAATAATATATATTTTTTGTTTAATTTTGGTCATTAGTGTCAATTTTTGGAACTAATGTGATAATTTTGCACGTTACTCTCATGATTAGATTGTCACTTTGCAACTCCCGCACTTCACCCACCGTGAACAAAAGGATCCCTCCCCACACATATATACATATATATATATATATGTATATGTAGGAATATGTTCACACGCAATATACAAAAGGACGAAAAATCCTTTTTAAATTAGGTAATTAACATTATTATAATCCGGATTGTGGGCTACTTAATCGAGGAAGATCTCAATTAGACTGTTGTACGCGGAAATTTCCCGCAATAAATAGATAAACTAATCGATTAATTAAGAAAGTTGAAGAGCAAAAGAAAAGGTGAGGAAAAATGGTCCCCCAAATATTTATCTAATCTCTTATATAGGATTACTAATAGTAAAACTAAATTAATATATCCTTTCTTTTTTTAACAGGATTATTAATATCAATGAAAATAGAATTTTCTTGATGTTTTCAACTGTGTATTATGATATTAATTAGGGTATACGTATTATGCCGTATGGTAATGCATCTGTTTAATGTCATGTGTGTGTGTTTGTATGTATGTATGTATGTATGTATATACATATATATGTATGCTAAATTAGGGCTATAATTAACAAGCCAATCAAATTCGGACATAATGAAATTCGCAAAGAATCAAATATATCGGATACTCTTGTCCATGAAATTTGAGACCGTGTAGTGTGTGTCTCTCTCTTTTCACTCTTTTTTGTTTTGGTTCCTATATCTTAATGGTCATAATTATTAGCATCAAATCAAATCTTTAACACTTTAATCACTTAAGACATCACAAAGAGAGATAGAGACAAAGAAACAAAGAAAACCTGCTTCCAACCTTGTCTGCCACAAAATTTACCCTCTCTTCAACAAATTTTATTACTTTAGCAACTCTTTATATATATATATATATATATATATTAAAGTTTTTTTTCTGTAAATTCGCAAGGCCATTTATTGCGTGTCAAGTTTCAACCAAGAAATAAGTATAATATGTTCCTCATATATATAGTGTATATATGCATGTACGTACATATTTTGATGTGTGTGTCAACGAGAATAGTTAAGTTGAACTGCAAAATGAATGATTTAATAAAGTATATGAATAGTATTTATAGCAGTGAAATTCGAATAATGATTATAATTTTTTTTTTGGTGGATCCCATTAGGTTAGAGGGGAAAAAAAAAGTTGATGGCTTTTGTTCTTCTAATTGATGACAATAGGGTGGAAAACCTGCCTTTCACTTTTTTTCATCTCCACCTTACGAAGATTTCCCCGTTTTCTTCCGTTTGGTTCTTCCTTAGATTGCCGCTTTTTTAATTTTGAATAATTTAATCACCTGATTAATTACCCAATAATTTCATTTACATTCAAATTTAAACTCCGTAAATATAGTTTAGTTAAAAAAATTTAAACCTCCATTTATAATTTACTTCCCCGTAATTATATATAGTTATTTGGAAGAAGGATGTAATTAAATAATTTTATCTGACGTGGATTAACTAAATTAAAACACCCCAAACCGATTTTTACTAATGATAGATTAAGACCAAGAAAATTGACTAATTAGCATTGAACATATGATTTAACCATTTATTACACGATCAAGCCACTGGCGATGGCTCGATTAGTGCTCAGGTGCGTGGTCTCGTACACGGGAAGCTCCTCTCTATACCTCTCGATCCCTATTTCCGACAGATTATCCAATTCGAACAGATCGGAGCTCGCGCAGCTCGCCGCGTCATCTTCGTCCTCGTCCATGGCGATAACGCCGACGTTGCGTGTATCTTCCGTCGACGACCTATCATTCTTCTTCTTCTTCATCTGGTAACTTCTCAGAAGATCCTTGGCGGCTTCGATCACGCGGCGATTTTCCTCCATGGCGTGGATTTCGAGCTCGTCGAGGTTGAAGCTGCGGCTTTGGTTAGGGTTGGTTTCCTTCTCGTGCAGTCTCTTGTGGCCGCAAGGGCGCGAGTCTTCGTCGAGGATAACGCTAACGGGACAGAACCGTACGGATCTTTTGGATTTTCCGGTGGAAGACGACGGCGTTTTGCTCAAGCATGATCTGGAGAATGACGACGCGGAGGAGCACGTGGACGAGGATAACGCTGCGTTACCGGCGGTGGAAACTTTCTTCAGCTTCTTTGCGTTACCGGCGGTGAAGAGCGAGTTGAGAAAGCTAGCGAGGCGACCACCGGGTGAGATCGGCTGCTTCGCTTTCTTCAACTCGCTGTACATCTTCAACGCCTTCGATTTCGTTCTGAGGAAGCTCCCGAGCTCCTGTTTCTGGACGCCGGATCGGTGAATCTGCACCGGTGACCGGTCGAGCCTCTCAACGGCCGTCCGAATCGGTTTCGCCGGCGACGATCTGGAGCGGCCGTAGAAGGAATCGGACTCGGAGGAGGAGAACCCGCTGGAATCGGAGGAGCTGGAGCTGGAGTGCTTGAAGAAAACGGAGTCCGTACTCCTGGGAGCGGCGGATCTGTCGAAATCGGCGGCGACAGATCGGCGGTGGGGGAGGATTTTGTCGTCGTGGAGCTGCTTGTTCTTCCTCATGGAGTCGCCGTCGTCGTCGATGGAGCGGTAGATTTGGTCAAGGAGAGTGGAGGAGAAGGAAGGATTATCTCTGCGGCTTCGGAAACGATCATGCGATCTGGAGGGTTTTGGTCGATCCCAGGGCTCCATGAACGAGGTTTTATGGAGATGAAGAAGGGATGATAGTGTTGGAAAAGTGTGAAAAAGCTTGAGAGCACAGTAATGGAGGTCGAGAGAGAGAGAGAGAGGGTAATGGCTAATGAGGAGGAGAAGGGCACGCCTGCCTGTGAGGAGACGGAGAAGAGCCTCTTTGGCGGTGTGTGTTTTAAAAGAGGGTGGGAAGGGGAAGAGTGGCGGGGTCTTATCACAGACAAGTTGTAATCATTGCCACGTGGCATTTTCGACAGTTTATTATTCGGGCCCAAAAATTACTTTATGTTTTTTCTTCGTCTTATAATTCTCCCGTCCGAATACGCGCGAGACTCATCCTAATGTGGTAATAGTTATTATTTCATTAATTATCTATTTTTGATTTTGATAAAGTATTTGTTTGCAGTTCTACGTTTTAGATTTGGACTCATAAACAAATTTAGTTTTTCATTCTTAATTTTCATGTTGCAAAACCCGTGTCTTTTGTGAAATTTTCTAATATTATATGTAACTATGAATTATTATCATACCCAACAATTGATGATCCAGTGGATGAAAGATGATAAAATCATTCTCAATTCATGCGTTCGATTTCACGGGTGGAAATTGATGTAATTTATGAACTAAAATAGCCCATATACAAAGGTTGATTCCGGATCTAGAATAGATTTAGTCCGGTCGAAGAAGTGAATGAACTCGTTATACAAAAAAACTATGAATTATTATCATTGCAGAAAACCAAATATTTGTTTAAAAAAAAATCGGGGGTTCATGAAGGATTTAACTTTCTAAGCGTTATTCCGAGATGCCAGGCTGTAAATGATGACGTGGCGACAAAATGGTGATTTTAGAAATTTGTCTTAACTAAATAATTAAGGGATTTTCATATCTTCATTACAGAACAGAACACGACACCATTGCCTTTTTTTAAAAAAAAAATTTTGACACGACGACCAAAAGATTCACTTAAATCGTTGCCTACTTCAAAAGGAGAAAAGTTGTTCCTTCTCCTTCGTGATAAGTGTGGTTGTTTTTTAATATTTTCATTTGCATTTTTTTTTCTCTTCAAAATGGAAGATATGATATGAGATTCTTAATTACAGCAAATTCAATATTGAAATTGGGTCCATTACAGCATCTTTGTTCTTCATTTATTTCTTTTTAGGCACTAATTAAACTGTGTAAACTGCAATGTTATCATTATAATATTTTTTATTTGATGATAATAAACAATTATTTAAAACAATTTTTAGTATTCTAATCTACTGTAAACACTCTTTATATATATACACAAATATTTTCACTTACACAAAAAAGGGATGACTTTTTTTTTTACAAAAACATATAAATGGGAAGTAAAATCTGAAATACGAACATACAGAAAATAAAATAAAAACACCACAAGAGTGCAAAAACAGCCTAATATATATTTTCCAAAAATAACAATGGCTAGGACTTGTACTTAAGTTTTCAAACCAACAAAAACTCCACAGTTTTTGGAAAATATATATTAGGCTGTTTTTATCTCACACTTTTAAAAAATTTAGCCTTTTTTTTTTGTATTTTCCCACAAGACATATTTTCTTTATAAAATACAACAATGGACTTTTGGCTTGTACCCTTATAAAATAGGCTATACAACTAATTTAGAGGACGGATTTTCAAATAAAATACGGCAAATGTGAAAAAGAAAGTGTTGGAGATTTGGAGGAATTTCTTTGGAATGATATATATATATATATTTTTAAATAAAAATAATTGATGAATTGTGAAATGAAATATGGTGTTAATTAGAAGAAGCTTTTGAGGGCTAAAGACGTTCGAACCCATAATTTGACCTTTTCCTTTTGTAACATAACACCAAAGCAAGCAACAGTCTCATGAACATCAATAATTTTGCAAACCACTATATGTTGCATCAAAATTGTGCCAAATTATTCCGTACCCTTTTTAATTGGCAGCGAATAACATATCATAATGTTATCTAGATTGAATACGAATTTTTAAATGAAAATATGTTTAAAAAAAAAGAATATTTCTATTAATAAAAATTGAACTCGAATAGAAGTCAACTAAACAAAATCCGGTATAAAATCTAAGTAGATATATATTTTACAAAAATAAAAACAATCGAATCAAAAGATTACGAAACCATAGCCACCACCTAGGGTGGCCAATTCGGGTTTCGATTCGGATTCGATTCGGTTATATTCGGATTCGCTTATTTTCAAGTTATTATTTTCGTAATATTACCACAAAATTTCTCGCACGCCAATGAAAATAAAACAAATATTTATTAATTTTATCTCCATAAATACGAAAAGTTCTTCGTCGCAAAGCAGACAAAGGGAAATCACACATGATCTTCGGGGTAGATTGATCTATTATGCTCAAGTTGCTTAAATTTTATATAAAATTAATCGAAAATAATTAAACAAAAGAAAGACATCATATATTAATGATATGGTAATTAATGTTAATTAGCAGGACAAAACATCAGCAAACCAACAGTATAATGACGCTGATTAGACATGGAAAGCGGGATTAGGACATGTAATTAAGGCTTAATAACAAACATCAGATTTTATTACAAGAGAAGAGGTTTATAATTATGCAGCTCGTACAGTAAACATCGCCTAAATTTCACTATACAAAAGTGACCCACCACTATCTTAACTTTTTTTTTTAATAGTTATTAAAGGAGTGTTGATTTTTCCTTGATTAATTCCACCTATACGACCAATAAAATTAAATAATACGATTTATAATAAAATTTTGAAATTTTTAGGTCATAAAAGATATAATTAAGATTCATTAACCTAAACGGGAATATCTATTTGATAATTATATACAAGGTTGTTAATTTGATTTAGGCATATAAAAACAATTATATCGTATTCAATAATAAATATATTTAATTGAATCTCATTTAAAAATAATTTAATAAAAACCCGATTTTTTTTTACAAAACTAAAAGATTCGAAACCAAAATTTCAAAATATCCAAAATTAATTAAGCATATATTATTATAAAAAAATATATCTTACATGTTATTTATCATCATCGTTTTTAGATTCGCTGTCGAAATTTAAATATTATATAAATTGTTTTGAATATTTTTGTCACCAGGATACATGATGATTCTGCTCAAATTTTGGTAATTTATAACTCTTTTATGTTGCTTTTCCGTTTCTTTATTTATTTCCATTTAGCCAATTGGATTGTTTTCACTGTCCAAATCCCTATCTTGTCTTCTATTTCCCACAAAACAATCCTTTATTTTTACCATTTTACTTTGAAATCATTAATTGTCCCCAATTATTTTCACCTTTTGGTTTCCACTTAATCAAATATAATTTTATATATATATATATATTAGTTATTAAATAAATGGCAGACCATGCCTTCCTGTTTTCTCGATATTAATAAGCTTGCAGTTTTATGAGTTAAAAATATTAAATTTATTATGAGAATTAAAAAAAATACAAAAATTATTTATAATTCGTGTATATATATATGTATAATATACATTTTGTGTTTTTTAATATAATATCAATTTTATCCATGCATAAATGTTAAACCGTATAATTATATCTTCGTAGATGTAGGTGAAAACAGTGTAATTATAGGATGTCCTACCGGTAGAATTTTTTAAAATAATTATTTTTACTTAAAAATAATATATTTTGATGATAATTTAATTAGTATTATTAATAAAAAAAATATTACAATCCATATTAAATAAATTTTTTTAGATCCGGTAAATTTTAAAACGCAGGTTTCATTACGGAGATATTTAAATTGTTATATGGAAGATATATATAATGAGAAGTTTAACGTGTGATGTGTTTGTACGAAAAATATTAATATAGTAATCAAAGACCGCATGTGATTGATATGTAAAGCTAAATAAAAAATATACAGTTATCTAACGAAAAGAGCCTCAATATTATATAATTTTCTTGTAACTTTCAGCCGCAATATCTTTGGTATAATACATACATATGTATATATATATATGCATACGTTCGGTTCATATCCTCAATGTACCAATCATCATGATGATGACCACAACAAAGATGATGGTACATATGTATGTGTGTATGTATGTACATATGTATGTGTGTATGTATGTATGTATGTATGTATGTATGTATGTATGTATGTATGTATGTATGTATGTATGTATGTATGTATGTATATCCGTAAACTCTACGCTGTTATTCTTTGTTTTTAATATTTGTCTTCGGTTAAAATCCGTTTCGAATTAGCCTGGTGTGGGTCTTCAAGATATTACATATTTTAACAGAAATGGTCATCGAATATATGTATTAAGGACCAAAAGTATAAAATTACCTTATCTCTAACATTTTATAATTTGTATTTAACTTCAACACGTTTTCTAAAATAATAAAGTTTTAATTTATCCTTTTCACGAAAAATAAACAATATTTCAGAGAGAGTAGAAAGAATGCATGATTAAAAAGTTAATGGATGCTCATTTGCATCATGATCACTCTCGTGGGCTAAGATTAAGCTTCTTTTTTTTTTCTTTCAAGAGGGACACAAATATTGATAAAATAATAATATTGTTATTAACAATAAGATTAATAACCACCGTAGGTGATTAGGTAACATAATTAAATAAATAAATAAATAACGGAAGGCATGAGTACAGATTAAGGAGATGCGCGATTTGATTAATTCGACATAGAATATATATATATATATATATATAGTCTGGCAACCGTACGTATATCCTATGTACTTATATATATATATATATATATATATATACACGATTTACATTATTTTATTTATTTAGAGAAGGTCACACACATATGATCGTCCCTTCAAATCCACGAAACTCCTCACTTATAGCCTTCTCTTTAACGGGACCCATTTTGCTCGTACACTTCTACTATTCATTCTTACACATAAGACGTGTGTGTGTATATGTGTATGTGTGTGTATATGTATGTGTATATGTGTATGTGTGTGTGTAACTTCGTGTAAGCGCATCATATTGTATTCGTTATGTCACAAAGTCAAAAGGCAATGTACCAAACCACACCCTAATGTCATGTGTAGGCTAATATGGCCAAATACAAAACTAAACCTTCAAGTCTAAGGCATCAGTTTCATTTCAACATGTTGATTGATGTCAAAGTAACAAATCATGCTTTATTATTCTCCAATCTCTAATATCATTAAACTTTGGACTTATTAAAAAAAATGGTTATTATGGTAAATAAGCCTAATTAGGAAGACAATGACTAATTGCCCATCATTCTCCCCTCAAGGCTTCATTAAACACGTGGGTCACCATCTAACATAACCCCCTACTGAGTTATTTTTTTAGTTTGATTATTTTTTTGGTTTGAATTTTTTTTTGTTTTGAAATTCGTAAAAATTATATCAATCTAGTTTTAATACCAATATTCGACTTAATCCGAGTGTTACTTGGTTCAATTCAATTTTCCATTTATAGAAACATGTTCATTTTCTAAAAAAAAATCTGTTTTCATTTAATGTTTTTCGATTATGATCTTATTTAATTCAGATTTGGCTAAATGCTTCTAAAACATTCCACGGAATTGTCTAATCACTCTTCAAATCCATGACATTAATTAAGGTGAAAGATAAAAGGGTTAGTTACTCCAAATCATTGAAGCCGAAGAAAAGAATCTCAAACAGAGCAATCATTTCAACAGAGTAGGGGAGAGATTAGCTTCAAGTGCTTAAGCTAAAACCAACTTCAAGTGTCCGTACAAATTAGGCTTTAAGCAAAAGGGGTAGTAGTAGGCACATGCCCCTTGGTTCTAGCTTTAACCCAAAGCATTACTTCTCAAAATGTCATTACAAATAAAAAAATAAAAAATTCTGAATGTGATTCTAATCTGTTTGCTGTCATAATGGCATTGTACCAATGCCAGGGTATGCAACAATAACAATAACATAAACAATATACATAAAAGGTTATCAAATCCATGATCAAATCTAAAAACACACCTTGACAGTCTGTGACATTTACAACTGTATATACTATACTATGATTAAAACTGGTTCACATTATCAGGCAATGCAAAGAGTCCAGTCAAGCTCAAGGACCAATATATGTGCTTTATGAAAATTAGGGAAAGGGGCATGAAACATAGGCAAAAGAAAGCATAAGATGTTTGGGGATCCCAAGAAAGAAAAGCACACTAAGGAAAAAGAGGACACAGAAACAACTACTACTACACAAACTCCTCTCTCTCTCTCTCTCTCTCTCTCTCTCTCTCCCTGCCTCAAAATATTGATAACAACAGGAAAGCCAAAGCAACAAAATGTTTCACATCCCCAGGAAGGAACCCTTTCATGGGGCAAAACAAAAATCAGATCACCACCAGGAGAGGTAAAAAAGAGAAAAGAGACAGATTCCAAAAGAGGCATAAGACACATGCATTGCAGGGATACCATCCAGCTTTTCACAATAATTTGACTCTTGACCAAAACTAGAGCAACAATATCTATGTTAAGGCCATGGTTCAATGGAAAGAAACATACCAAGTCTGGGAGAACTGATCCACGGTGCATCTATGCTTGATACCTGCGATTGTGGCAGTAAAAGAAGAGATTCTGGGAGCAGACAACCATTGGTAGAAAAGTGATTAAAAACAGATTTATGCATTCAATAAAGAAGATAAACAGAGTTTGGCAGTTGACAAGGAGAGTAAAATACTTTCTTTGGCTATTATGATCTCCATTAGACATGTAAAAACAAGTTAGATTTGTTAATAATTTGTTGGCCAGTTCATATGACCGAGTTGAGGTTGCTGGTAAGTTCCCGCTTGAGCCACAGGAGGAGAGGGGGTGACCCCAACTCCAACATTACCACCCAGTCCAGGCCCCATATGGTGTGGACTCGCCATTGCACCGGGCTGAGTCGGGTGGAAAAGGCCCTGGAATTGCATATGAGATGATTGAGCCGCAGCAGCAGCAGCATCGAAAGATGGATGTGCTGTATGGTTTGATAAATATGCACCGTGAGGTGTTTGCCCGGCAACATTGTAATACGGTGGAGATTGTAGACCAGTCAGATCTCTTGGGTTTTGCAACCAGATTTCAGAACTCTCAGCCTGCTGTCAAATCAATAAAAAACCATATCAAACTTGAATGAATGAAAGCTAACAAGCAAAAACTCCTATGCTTGTCAAAAGAAAACACACACTCATCCTTACTTGAGGATTTGGAACGTAAATACTTCCGTCTTTGTACTTCATACGTGACGAATCTTCAAGCCCAACAGCGTTACCAACTATGCTGGGTGAATTAATCGGATATCCATTAGGATTGTTGAAACTCCCAAAACCCATGGGACCACCGGTTGGGACCGGTTTAAATTGCTGGATCCCATACTTTATGCCATTTCCACCAAGATGAGAACTGCCTCCAGGCATCAGAACGTAACTGTTGCCACTCGAGGGGTGCACATATGCTGCTGGGTTACCAGAGTATCCTTGCATGGGCATTTGGGGGACATAAACCGGGGGGAGGAACTGACGGTACGGCATAAGGTTTGGAAAATGAGAAACATGAACCTGTGGGTAAAGCTGTGCCATCTGAGCTTGTTGCTGCTGTAACATTGGAATTGTGGAAGTAGGGATGGTGTTTTGTGCATTAAGTACCTGTCACATAAATACAGGGACATGATTAATTTTCACGGCTTGTAAATTGACAAGAAATCAAGATACAATTGGTGCCACAGATAAAGATGGTATTCAAAAATGGATAATTTCCTGATGAATTTCAGGAGCTCATGTATCTATTCTAAAATGGTATAGAAGGAAACTAAGACTATGCTAGTTTGCATCAACTTGATTTTTAGTTCAACACAGAGAAAAACTACCTCCTGCGGAGATGGAAATCCTTGACCCCGAATGTTTTCATCCATTGAAGGTCTGAAATACGGCAAATCATAACCAGCCTGGGGATCATATGCCTGTTCGAGAGGAAATGCACATAATCAGATAAAACCTTTACCAGAAACAGTTGTTAACAGGTATATAGTCCTTGCAATTGTTTTTGCGGATATCATCTGAGATCAAGCAACATACAGAACAGAGTTACAAGACCAACAATATCACTATGAATTTTGTAAAGTTGCAACAATAAGATACTCACTGAAAAATTTTGCAGTGTATGAGTATCTTGCTGCTGTTTTGACTCTAAAGTTGGACTGTTTCCATGGAGCAATTCGATCCCTGCATACTCATCCAAGTTCTGAGAGGTTCTAGAATCCTCTTTTTGTTCAGGAAATTGTTGCTCTGATGCTGTTGAGAATGGCGAGCCAGAACCAGATCCAGAATTTATAACTTGTTCATCAAGAATAGCAACAGGCATGGTGCACGGAGCACCATCATTTGAAGCCTCAGGAGGAGCAAGCTGCAAACTGTCATAAATATTGCAATGTTACTTGGGAACATATTCTCTAAGAGAAACCATTGGTACCCAAATGTTGCAACAGTCTCATGTTCTATCCAAAATGCAGAATGCAGAAACAACCACCACTACAGGCACATACCTACGAGCAGATTCACATTCATGTTCTTCTGGCAAGCATGCTTCCTGGAATCCAGATGCTGAGATCCTGGAAGAATCAATCTCCAGCACAAAGCTACCAAAAGTTAGCTGACACCGATCAGTCTCTGGGACACGGATATGTTCTGCAATGATGACATTCTGACTTTCGCTGATATTAACATGTGAAAGCTTATCTTGCAACTTAACCGCTTCTGATTCCAGGTTGATAGAACTATCAGCGGGAGCAGCAGATGCCTTTTTAGGTGTTCCAATTACTCCAGGATTATTCCCACAAGATTTTTGGTTTAATTTAGGCTTCCACTCCTTGTTCTGTGAGACTGCTGCATAAAAGTCAAGTTGATAAAGTCTACCAAAACGTAAAGTATTCATAGTCATAAGAAAAAACTTTATTGCAACCGCTTTTTTCAACAGACAAATCCAAAAAGGAATAGAACACCTCATGGAACTGTAGAAGAGAATACTACAGAGATTTTTAACTAATAATCAAACGGTCTCTGATTAAAAAGCGTGCATGAAATGAAGGAAATAGCGACTTCCATTTTTTATATGTAACATGGTAGCAGGAATCAATCAAGCTTCCTCGAAGTATTACAACTATGACCCATTTACTTCATGAATACCCATAGATGTATGAAGAAAGTTACCTCTTTGATGACCACCAGCTTGCTGCTGTGTTCTAACATATTGACTGCCTCTATTGCCATGGTGACTGTTCACGAGAGATCTATTACCAGCAGCACCACTCGGCAAGACAGACTCTCGTCCAGTAGTTTGGTTGAGTTTATCAAACTTTGAAATTGGGGAAAACGGCCGGTATGCTTGTGGAGCCCCATCTTTTCTCAGAGGTGCACGTGGAAAAGATCCAGCAGGTGTTGACGAATCTTTGACAACACTTTCTGAAGATTTTCCAGCAAAACTTCCACCCCTGACTTCACGTCTTATAGCTCCAATAGGTGATGATCTAGAATCAGGAGATGGCACATGAACTGGATCTGTGGAAGATGAATATACCCCAACAACAGAATTGCTTGATGGCAAAGTTGCATCTTGCGCTGTTTGCTTTTCCTTAGAGTGTTCTTTCTTGCTAGCACCAGGCAATGAAGCATCACCATCAGGCTGCCTAGATTGTGTGTTCACAGATATATCAGAAATATGAACTGAATCTCGATCTCCAGAAGGCTGCTGATTGCCTGAGCCACCTGCTGAGCTGGCAAATCATAAAACAAAACCATGTTCATGCTTTGCTTCTTCAACAGAACTCTCTGCTGACAATAAAGGGCAATAAAAAATTTGTTGGACACTCGAGATGAAGGGAAATCATTCCTAATCCATTATTTACTCAGAACTGCACTGGGGCACTGAACATGAATAACATACTTATCCCATCTCAGCTCCCAAAAGCCCTTTGCCACATAACAAGATGGCATATTCTCCCAAGAATCTTAACCTCCCAACTCTTAGCAAGAAACTTAACTAATCTAAGAACTTTCTGTTGAGGTAACACTGACAACCCAAGAAAGCATTACTTCTGTCGTTCCACAAGTATCAGAAAAATAACAAGGCATGCTAAGTGCTAACAGAATAAGCTAGAATTAGAATATTGCCCAGATAGAATATGCTAACAGAATTATACCCTTTTTCATTCACATTGGTGGGCATTTTGTCAATGTTTGATACAGGAGACCAGGTAGAAGAATGCTTCAATTCTCCATCTACGTTCAGATTAGACCTGTTGTCTCTAACAACACGAAACTCTCTGTTTGTTCCTGCACTAGCAAGAAACTAACCATCAATTCACAAATCGAACAAACCAAAGCTTCTATGGATATCGTCAGTAGATCTCATGAAAACTGAGGCTCCTACATCATTCCAAAGATGTAGAAACCATTTGAATCTGTATAAATGTAAGCATAATATGCACCACGAGCAAACCATTTTCCTTGATCAGGGGGTGATCAAGAAATGAGAAATTCATATCCTGCAACCAGTTGCATTCGGCAGAACAGTTCTATGATCATTTTCCTCGTGCATCGATTAAAAAATAAGTAAAACAAGTAAGAGACTTTCACACATACACACAGAAGAAATTTTATACTTGAATAAACATGGTATTGAGTTACCAGCAGTAGAATTCCGAGAAAATGCATGCCGAGGAGCAGTGCCACGTGAAAAAGAACCACGACTATAGCCTCCTCTACGAACATTACGTTCAGGCTGAGTTCGAAATTTCACTTCACTGTCAGCATCATCAGAAGGTTTTTCCCTACTGGCGGGACCATCAAATACCGCATCCTGAACCAAAAGCACATGAATTGAACAATATGAAGTTATATAAGACAGAGCTTCAACCCCTTTTCACATGACCAACATCCAAAGAAGCTAACCTCCAAAATGAACCCAAACACAGAGAGAAAAAAGAGATTAATCATCTTCCAAAGATTCAAAATATGGGTCAGGGGATCAGTAGATCTCTGAGCAGACAGAAAACGATTTGAAATCTTTCACTCTCTCCAAATTACTTGGAAACCACCAAAAAAGATACAATTTTAATAACAAGTAAATTATGCTTTGGAGATTCACTTAACATAGACCAAAACTAATGCAGCAACACACCCTAGAGATGTAAGACCAGACCTGCAACTGAAACTATCAACCCTTCCATCACTACCACCGGCTTCCTCATCCGTGCAGCCAGACATACAATATAAGACAGTGCCATGTGTTTGCGAAATTACCTCTTTCTTCCTGTCCCTTCTTCTCTTCACCTCATGGAATGTATCTGAGACAAAGAGAAGAGCTTTAGAAGCCAAAACTTGAACTATGCTAAAAGCCAAAATGAACAACAAACACAAGGAGAATTTGCATTATGATAGGAAAAAAATCTGAAACAAAATTCAATCTCACAACCAGAAATTTGGGAACCACTGAATAAAATTTATTCCATAATCCATACAGATAATAGCTCATAATTCCCAAAAGTATGGCAGATATATGAATGGGGGACAGGGTCTAAGTCTAACACAAACATCTGTCTAATTAGAAAAATCTCACAAGTCCCTGAAACACAATCAACACATGGCAAAGTACAAAACACAAAACTTCGCAATATTTTTCCTTTCTAGGAGCAAGAAACTTGAAACCCGAGATTGTAAATAACACAGACAACAACAAGATGCTGCAGCATTCATTGTGATCCCAATAAGAACTCGAACGAAAATGAGAAACCTGTGGAAAAAGGACAACCCTTGAAACAAAATGTATGCCGGAGGAAAGAAAACCCTAGCTGCCGTCAAAGCAGAGACGTAACAGAGTGAGAGAGACAGGGATAGACCTTGCAGAAGCAGCCTCTGAGCAGTCTCGTCAGCGTCCATGTTAGCCTCTTTCAAGGCGGCGTATATATCGGCGTCGGAGTGATTACCCAAAACTTCCTGTATCGACTTAATCGTCTTTCTCACTCCCTCGTCAATTCCAGTCGCTGAACTACCCCCGGTTCTGGAACCGCTCACCATCTCCGACCAGAACCACCGTCGGATCGAAAAAATCAGAAATGTCGAAAATGAAAGCCCAAAGACAGCAGACGAGAACCGATTGGAGAATCAGATAAAAAGGGATTAAGATTTGGGCAAGTCAGAGAGGATTCATGATTGGTCTTAAACCCTAAAATCAGATAGGGAACTAGGGTTTCGTTTCGTGTTCAGAAGAGAATAATTTAAAGAGGAGATGGAAGTGTAAGTAATATGGGGTTTGGAAATCTGAGGGTTTTTCTCACATGTCAAAGTCAAATACTGGAAAATTTAGTTCAAAAATGTCAAAATGACCGTTTCACCCTTGGAGTTTACGGCCGAGAGATGAAATATAAAACTTGTAAATGCACATTTTATTTTATTTTGATATATGTAATCTCGAATTTTAAAAAAAAAAACGTTAAAAGATTAGCATATGCCATTTGATAAAAAGATAGGCTTTGTCAAATCCATATATCAATATAAGCTCAATTAGTTAACATTATAGTTGATATGTAGTAAAGATAATAAAAAAATTATAATGCAGCAAAATTAATAACAACGGCAATAATATCCACCCAAATTATAATCGGCATATATATATATATATATATTAAAATAACAAAACAAAAATAAAAGGAACACAAGAGCTCCACAATCACCAACCCAATGAAAACTGAAACTACGTTAGCTGATTTCTAACAAAGAAATTAATAAATTTGTTATATAATGTAGCATATAAATAACAATAATAACACCAATATAGTAGTATCCACCCAAACAATAATTAACATATATATGTTAAAAAAGACAAAAAAAAAAAAGGGAAAGAACAGAACAGAAGAGCTCCCCACAGACATATGAAAACTGAAACTAAGTTAGCCCTCTCCCTCTGGTCTCTGCGTTTGGTTTTTCCTAGAAGCAAAGAAAGTGAATGGGTGGGGGGGAATCACAAGTATTGCTGTTGTATCCGACCTCTGTTCTGCTCCCACCACAACCTTGCATTCGTTTCCCCGAACTTCTCCCGGCTGCAAAACAAGTAAAAATACCGTCCTGATGAGCAAGTACGGCCTGTAGTGCTGGACCAAAAAACCCGAATTTCAGTTACCCGACTACTGTATAAGATGAGATCGGGTTTGGTCGTCAGAAAATTGGGTTCGGGTCTGAGTAATTAGATTTGAGACGGGTATTAAACACGGCGACTTGATGTTCAGTAAATAAAGAAGTTGCATAAAAACCTAGGGCTCTATATAGAAGCCTCCTCGGGTGCGGGTACCCGAGTATTGTTTCAGTTATCTGATCAAATGGGTATGAGATCAGATAATTTCTAATGAGACCCGAGACACTCGGGTACAGATTCGGATCCAGATGGCCCAAACATCTTGGATACCTGATCCGAACTCACCCTTAGTTGTACGTGGCTGTGCGTGCACTGGCCTTAGTGCTCCTATGGTGTATGTCGAAGTTGTTAAAATCTGATTCTAGAATGGTTAAAAACTCCATGATCATCATCATCATGGGGAAGGAAGTAGAAGTGGATTGTGTGGTGTAATCAATGTGGGTTCTTAATCTTAAATCTCTGTCTAATTAAAGAAAACGTAGATGATCGAAAGTTTTTACAGACCTGAAGCGAACACGTCTAAGCTCGCGAGAGCCATCAGGCAAAGCTCTGATAGTAATGTAGACTCCAGGCTCGTCCTGTTCCACCCATTCGGTTTCCATGTCTTCACTTGCATCACATGTATAGCTACTACTTCTTACAGAACCGTCGACCGATGATGTCTCGGTCTTGTTGCTAGAGAGTTTTGGCGTCGAGGCAAGACCAGTAGACTCGTAGTATCCGATTCCCGCCGCCGTGCGAGGAACGTTCCGAGGACGTTCTTTGTCCAGGGGTGGAGTTACAGGACTTTCCTTGGCAGACTTATAAACATAGATCATAGTTTTGATTCATGTGAGCTAATAATGGAGCTTTATAAAACAAGAACGATGACCGGACATGGAAGAAGATAATGTATCAGACAATACCTCATCTTGGGATGTAGGAGTCTGAAGCGGGACGCTTTGCTGGTTGAACTGTTGGACATTGTATAACTCCATCACCTTATCGTAGTTCTCTGCCCACCACCTCTGAGCCTGCCATTTATTAAACATTTCCCGGCTGCAAAAAAAGAGGAGAAACTGAATATTAACCCCTCCGATCCACAGGTTCAATACTTACAGATAGCATGGCGCTAACAGTCGAAAAAGAAAATCAGCAAGAACAAGGAATCCTGACCAAGATCCGCGGTCCTAATCTAAGCCCTGATCAGGAATTTATGTGTAATTATAAACCGAAATACTGTGAAACTGCATGTACGTACTACGTAATGTGAATTTAACCAAAAACAGAGCAAATTCTCACCAAGTGTGCCCATGTAAGAAACCAAAATACTGTAAAATCGAAAGCACGGAATGTGAGAGTCCCAAACTAAAAAAAACTTGAACAAATTCTCTCGGATGGTGTGAAAGGGGGAATTTGGGACCACGTCTTTGGACTGTAAAAAAAATGCAAGAAACACCAGATCCCAACACAAAAATTCTCGCTATTGATGAAATTGACAATTGTTGTACTCAAGGTTGTCACGAGAAAACACAAATCGACTCCCAAAGTCAGATCAAGAAGTCATAGCACAAGCAAAGAGCGTGATATGGTTATGATAGGACACTGTAAAGGGTCTATGGTTACGTTCATCCTTGTCTCCAATTTCAGATCAATCCAACCAAGAGTTGACATCAGAAACATGCCACAATGTTATGATATCTCAGTTCCAAATCCTACACTGTTGTCAAGAATGGTCTACGTTGAAAACAATTACCTGAACCGAATCCGCTTAAGATCATTCCCTCCCTGAGGCAATGAAACGAAGGTAATGAGAACGCCAGGTTCAACTTGAGCAACCCATTCCTTAGGCTCATCCTCCTCCATGAACACAATGGATTCTGTCCGACCGCTCATGGAAGCTGGAGTTCCTTCTCCACTTGAAAGCCCTTTCAGCCTAGCCTCCATTTCCTTCCCCCAAATCCTCGGTGTTGAGCTTGCGCTCCCTGCTCTTCGGTATGCATAGTGGAACCTTCCAGAACCCGAAGCAGCATCTGAATCAGCATAGTTCCTGTCTGATGATGATGACCCAGCACACGGTTTGCAGTTTTTGTATGCCCCCGATGCCTTTATTGCAATGTCTTTTATCTGAATGAACAGGAATCACAAAGGAAGAATCAAAGAATTTATATGCTTTGGCTCTAAATTGTGTAACTAAGAGAGCAAACGTGATTTTCTTTCCGGAACAAATCCGGCATCTAGGAAACTTGATCAGGAACTCAAACGGTGGAAAGTTTCCAACTTGGCTCGAGGATCAGATTGGTGAAAACTAAGAGTTCCATCTCAAACAAACGGTAGCGACAAACTTTTCTTGTTTTTGCTCTAAGCTTCCAAGCAAAAACCAATTGAACGAACATGGTCCCGCCCAGAATTCCTTTCCTTTTCCGTCGTTTTCCCTGAAACCAAACAGCTCTTTGAAAGCGACCGAAAAGAGAGATGCTCTACCTGGGACGACAGGGTCTTAATTGCCTGCTTAGTCCTGGGCGTCGCAACAACTCCGTCTTCTTCTTCTTCTTTCTCGCGATTAGATCCGCCATTGTTGGCGTTTAACTGCTTCGAACAAGCAATACAAGTCAGCATCTCTCTCCTTTTCCACGGACCCAGAAAAATCAAATGGACCTGAAATCAAGCGACAGCAGGAGAAACCAGATCAGATTATGAAAACCCAGATTAAAAAAAATCAAGAAACAAGGAAAGACCATCACTGCCCTTGATCCATTCGCGGCCATAACTCTCGCACACTTCACATTCACTTACGTAGATACATACACAAACAACACACACACACACACACTTTGCACTTACAGACGATTCCCAGTGTACTACAGCCCTCGCTGGAAATTCGAGCTATCCGGTTCCGTCCTGCTTTCTCCAACGGGAATAAAGCACTTTTTTTTCTCAGTTATAGAGATCCATAAGGAAACTTGAAACGCAGAACCACCATAGGAGAGCTCGGATGGCGGCGCCTGAAGATGACCGTTACGCGACCGAGAAATTAGGGCACGCGCAGGATCTGGAGATCAAAACGAAGATATGAGTCGCACCAGAATCTCTCTCTTGCGCTCGGTCTCTGCGGCTTCAGGCTGACATAGAGAGAATGAGTGTGTCTCTCTCTAGAAACCCAAAGCTGAATGTGGAGAGAGAGAGAGAGAGAGAGAGAGAGAGAGAGAGACTTTGAGCTTTGGGGTTGGAGTTCGTTGGACACTGGAAAAGTTTTACACGCACAAGTTGAATATCGTGTTTGCTAACTATTTAAATTCCCTTTTGTGTATCCATAAGCCATTTAATTTTTTTCCCTTTCAGATTCCTTTTGGTGACACCATTTATTAAATAGAGTTAAATATATATAAATGTATCTATATTCAAACATAAAAGACAAAAAAAAAACATGTAATCTATGTTATGTGCCATAGTGTCATGTGAATGAGACTAGTGTTTTATTTCGGCGCGGTACTATATATAATTTTATATTTTATGTAATATGGTATGTTGGTTTAACAAACATATATATATATAATATCATTAAAATAGTCTGATAATTTTGACAGAAAATAAACTATTTTTTTTGTTATTAATACGATAAAATATATCGGACTGAAATAGATTAGAAAATTTGAATCATATGATAATTTATCATGAAGTTAATTTAAACATAATTTGTATCGATAAGAAATACCTTTGGTATTATTGTCTATATTCTTAAAAGTTTGTATTTATTTCGAATTTTAAAAAAAATATACAATGGTTGAATGATAAAAAAAATTATAACTTTAACCAAATAAAAAATAAAAAAAAATTATAACTCATAAAAAAATATACTTTTTTTTGCGAGTGGCGAGAGAACGACACGTGTCCGCCGAACATTTTTGTTGTCGCTATATTGTTCGTTGGCTCCTGGTGCTCGCCGATATTTTGACCTCTCGGACGGAATCTCTCGTCTCGTCTGTCCATTTTTTCCTTGTACGTACGAGCACTTCATAGTTCAAAAGCCATTATTATGACTTGAGACATAAATTAAACAAAAAATATTCAATTAACCCCAACACTTCCATAACTTTCAGTTTCACCCTCTTGGCACTCCCAATACATATACATAATACATATATACAGAGAGATTCAAATTCTAGTTTTTTTTTTTTCCGTTTAGATGTATGTATAAAACAATGTATAATATATGTTGTCCTGTCTTTTGTATTTTGAGGGTGCACATGTGGATCCATTCTATAAGACCCACAAATCACGTGACCCATCTCTATGGTTTGTTTTGTTAATGAAAAAAAAATCAATGGAAATATGTAATTAAATACAAAAATTAAATTAGTTTTTACATTTTTAACACAAAAGCTTTTGTTTGTTTTTACATTTTTTTAAAATAAGTGATAATTTAATATTGGCTCTAGTATTTGAAATAAAAACGTGTATTGTAATTTTAATAGATAGAAATATGTTAGTTTTATAATTTTCAAATTTGTTTATGACAAAAATGTTTGTAAGTTTAACAATATTGTTGAAGATTAATATTAAGAATTTACATGCAAAGACGTGTTTTCCCATACCCGTTTTACACGTCCGATCGTCACAAGAGAGCCGTGAAGCAACCGTTGCCGCAACGGGCGAGGGAATTAATTACACCGTGGAATTATAATCGTTAGGTATTTCAACAATTGGAATTTTGTTTATTTAATCGTTAAAGGGTTTGAAACGAAAATTAATCATATATAAAAAAAAATTTACAGCAAGATATGATGAGATACTTGCAATATTTTAATTTGCTTTGCCACGTGAACGACCAATGTGGTTTTTTTCACGAATCCGAGTGTCTTCTTTTGTTGTCTGAATTTAAGATTTGTTATGTTTCGTATTGTTATCCTCGTGGCATTAAATTTGTTAGAAATGAACATTTCAATTCAGATATATATATGCCTGTTTAATTTAAATTTATACGTTTTGATTAAAAAAAAATGTATGAAAATTATGTTTTCATCTGAAATTTAGTAACAGAAATCTTCTTTAAAATTATATTTTGATTTTTTTTAATTTAATAAGGGACAAAGGAACAAAAATTCCCACTGGAGATCTGTCATCTTAAATTTGATTTTTTTTTTCTTTCATATTTCTTAATCGATTTTCCGAGGTAGATTTCCTTTTTGCTTACATGAATCTTTTTCTGTAAAATTATTATTGAAGATAATGCCCCGTGTAATTGTATTGAAAACTAACAAGATTTTTAAATTAATTGAATATATTTCTTATCACTAAATTAAATTATATGTTATTGTAAAAGGAGCCCAAATATCCATTACTAATTATAAGCATTAGACTTCATGCCTTGCTTTATGGCGACAAATAAGTGCACCGCATCTTCAAAACTGGGAAAAAAAGGCAAAAGAAAGCGGTGACCCTAAACACGAACTAAGTAATGATGGGACATGCAATTAAGAATATAATTAATTTAAAATAACTATTAATTAATAATAAATTATTAATAGAGTTGTTTTTTCCAGCTAAGCCTACAAACCCTTTTGCTTAAGTACACATTTCTAACATCATTATCCAAATTCCTCGTATATGTTTAAAAAACATCATTTCCGCTTCAAAAATTGTTATATATATATATATATATATATATATAACATAAATATAATTTTTAAAAATTCAGCGACAGACGAAATTCATTACGGTACAAACCCAATCTTTTCGTTATGAAAAAAACGACTTTTTAGAATTTGACGGGGGCAAATGTACATGTATATATATTGGTCTTATAAGTTATTATATGTGAAATGTTATAAAACGGTGTAAATCAATCAACACGAAGTATTCATAAGAAATTACATAAAAGTATAACTGAATCTATGTATAGTTTATATTTCTCAATGCATGAAAAATTTAGGAATTTTATGTATATAGAGGGACCCCATTTATTGAAATTTAGATTCTCGCATTTCTTAAAATTGTCCATCAGACTAACTTTCACTTTTGTAGAGTTGGACGTTTCGGAAAACGGTTCGGGTTCGGGATGAGAATGGATCCGTTCGGTTTTTTCAGTTTTACAAAAATAGATACCAATCGGTTTTTATATTATGTTCGATTCGGTTCGGTATCGGTTCAGTTCGGTTCCGAGTTTTATTAAAAAAAGATAGATTTTCTTTAAAAATATTAGTTTTTCGGGATTTTTTAAAATTCGGTTCGGTTCGGTTCGGTTCCGGAAAAATTCGGTTCTCTAAAAATAATACCGTTCGGAAATTGAAGACGGTTTCGGATCGGGAAAAGTACCGTTTTTTCGGTTCGGTTCGGTCCAGATCCGAAGAGCCGAACCGAAACGTCCACCCCTAAACTTTTGTTATTTACATATGTATCCCTAATTTTACAGAAATTTTAATTTAGACCCATTCACTAAATGATAATGACTCAATAATAACTAACGTAACAAAATCTGAAATTTAAACCAAATATTGAATCACATTAACCGAGTAAATTTTAAAAAATATTCTAACAATATATGCCCATTTGTAAATATTTGGTTAAAATATGTGCATATAAATCGATGTTTTATAATTAAAATAGAAGCAATCGAGATAATAGGGATTGGTCCAAGACCAGTTAAGGTAGGCTCAAATACAATAACGGCCCAAAGAGAGACGGATCAACAGACGAAGGCCCAATAAGATTGGATCAATCTCTACACCCGACCGCACTAGATCAAACCCCTCTCGTCCCGTCCCGTGTATAGCGATCCGCCTCTCGCTATAGTTTCCCCTTCTTCGTTTTTTTTGCTTGACGTAAAATTGTTGAGGGCCTGATCAATCTCTCCTCCTCTCTCTTTCTCTCCCAGATTCATGGTTGACTCGTTTACCGTTCTTCTTCCCTCGAATCGTCGATAAACCCTAGATTTCTCCGAAAACCCTATCTCGTTTCCTCGGAAATCACCGGACTTGTCTTCGGGCATCTCGAGGCGCCTAGGCGGTTGTTTATCTGATCGGTTCAGCTTGTTGAGGTAAGGATCATCTTCCCAGATATGGTTTTTTCATTCTCTTGTTTACCGGCTTGATTTATTCTGCGATGTGTTCTCGGATTTTGGCAATTTGGTGATTGAGATTGTTGATTTAGGGTTTGTTTAAGCGCAATATAACTTCAGGTTGTATGTACTGGAGATCATTATTCTGAATCGCACAAATGTTTTGTTGATTGAAACGGTAATGCTTTCCGCTGTGCGTCAGTGTGCGCTGAAAATTTTTGTTTCCACTTCGAATGTCGTGGTTTCTGTTGTACTCGTGGGTCTGTTGCTTTACTATTTTCGAGGAGATGAACCTGTTTGAAAATTTTCTTCCTTAAATCAAGGGCGTTTCGCTATCCACAGACTGTGTGGTTGCGATGTTTTGGTTGTCTTCTCGTCTGCATGTTTCGTTCTGGAAGGCTTATTATTGGTATAAAACTTTGTTCAGTGAATGCTGATGTTGGAAGCTAGGGAAAGTCTGTCATACTTGGGTTCTTCATTTTTCATTTAGCTGATTTAGCAACTTCTTTGAGCAGACGTTGTTGGTCTGAAGTTTTTGTAGTAGCGAGTGATTCTCTAATCTCATCAATCATCATTTACCATGCAACTAAAAATCAACATCTTGCTTTGATGGTCAGGTTTGCAGAGTGCATTTCTCTAATTTTTATAGTTTCATTTCTCTTAGTTCAGAGATGTGTCATGGTTTGTCGAATGCTTATGAAACTCGCAGAATTTTCATACTGATTTGCAGTATATTGGAGAAAGAGGGAAAATGTATATGTTCATTTGATCCTCGGTTATATAACTTTACTGTTGACTAGATGATGCCAGGGTTTTAGTTGTAACATTTCTCTTAATCATTTCTGCACAAGGTTTGAACTTTTAACAGTTATCTTTTAGAAAGTTAACAATGGCGATCAAAAGCCAGCAACATTGCACATGTGATCTCAGTTTGCATACTGGGCCCGTTGTGCTGTGAGACCCGACAGATAATGCAGAAAGTCATTGTTTGGGTATCAGATTTCAGGTATTTTTGGGCCTATTTATCTGTTGATTTATGTTTTTTTCCTTATCATGCAGATTAAACAACGTGAACTACCATGAATATGCAATCTATTCCTCAGCCGAGATCTTCGGCTAATGGATTTTCACATAGAAGAGTTGAAAGAGAGGGAGGGATGAATAAGGCACAGCCTGTAAAGTCTTACTCAGTGAATACCCCAGGTACAGGTGATTGGTCACATATACGTAATTTAGCTTCTTCGTCATTTACTGCCATCTGATGTTTGTTCACATTTGCAGCAGTGAGTGGGGAGACTGCATGTTTGGAGGACCCGTCTCGTGATCGGTTGGTGTATCTTGCAACATGTATGATCGGGCATCCTGTGGAAGTGCAGCTGAAAAATGGATCTCTTTATTCAGGCATATTTCATGCAGCTGACGTTGAGAAGGACTTCGGTGTGACTCTGAATCAAGAATTTTTTTTCCTTAGGCATCTAAAAATTAATAGAAGATATTGCTTTTTCTTACAACTTACAAACCGCCCTTTGAGTTTCAGGTATCATTTTGAAGATGGCATGCTTGATTAAGGAAGGTACTTCATGGGCACAGAAATCTCGTTCTGAGTTTGTCAGCAAGCCACCGTCCAAGACATTGATTATACCTGCTGATGAACTTGTGCAAGTTGTTGCCCAGGTTTGTTGCCTTTTTCCCTAAAAAATCATCTATTTACATTTCTGTCCTGTTATATGGTTGCAGAAATGTTACTCGTAGTTTCTCTTAGTCTTTTTTTATTGTGGTTTGGTGTTAGGATCTTCCTATAACCCGGGACGGATCATCAAATGCTCTTCAGTTTGAAAAGCCGTCAGAGCTGTTGACAGACTCTTCTATATCGCAGTCTTCTCGTGTTGAAATGGGAAGAGAGCTGAAACCTTGGGTACCTGATGAGGATTTTCCCGAGTGTCCCGAATTGGAGAATGTCTTTGATGATCCTTGGAATAGGTAGCTATTTCCTTCCTCTTATTTTGTGTTACTGGATGTCTGATTTGCAGACGTCACGATTCAATATTTACGTCTTTTCTTCTCGGCACTGGGTTTTTAGCGCTATACCTTAGACATGAGAATGATGGAAAGAAGAGATCATTTCACAATTACTTTGATGCACAGACTATGATTATCATATTCTGTCTTGAAATGTTAATATCAGTAACTTAACTTGCAAGACTCTGGAAGAAGGGTGCCTAATCTTACGTAAGCCATTGTTTCACTTTTTAATGGATTTGTGTTTTGTGCTGTCTGGAAGATTCCTTATATGCTATAGTGATTAGCATTAAAGATTGTGAAGATCCATAACTTTATAATACCCAGATTTTTCTACGGCATCTTTATTTGTACCTATCTGGCTTCGCTTTCCTAGAAACCTTTAATAATGTGCTGTTTTAGTGCTGATATGCTCAGCTGGTGTGTTGTCTTCCACTAGGAGCTGGGATCAGTTTGAAGTCAATGAGACACTGTTTGGAGTAAAGAGCACCTTTAATGAGGAACTTTATACCACAAAACTCGAGAGAGGTCATCGGACAAGAGAGTTGGAAGAGCAAGCCATAAGGATTGCCAGAGAAATTGAGGGTGAGAGCACCCGAGATATTCACATAGCGGAGGTGAGTTTTGAGGGTCTATTGTTACTTCTGACTTATCAACATTTCACGAGTGTTTAATTCCCATGTTCTAATGGTTCATGCATGTCATCACCTTAAATAGGAAAGAGGTCTACCGCTTAATGAGAAATTCGATGCGGATGAGGAAGCCAAGTACTCATCAGTCCGCAGGGTTGAGGGATTTGATGATAGTGGGGTTGAAGATGAGGAGGACATATTATTGGATTCTCACAACAATATGACTTTCGGTGACATGTCTGCTTCTGATGGCAACAAGTCAGCGTCAAGTGGTGGTAAAACCTATGAGCAAGCATGGGTATGATCGCGAGTTCTTTGGTATTAGATTGTAACAGAATAATTGGTGATGATAAATTATTTGCCCTGTAGGGTGGTGGCCTGCCTATTCAGAGAAACTTAAGTACGGATCAAAACTGTTCGTTCAATGATGAGAATGCTCGGGAGCATGCATCTGAACAATCATCCAAAGATTTGCCTGCTCCAGGAAGCATCATCAGGTCTCTGATGTCTGTAGTATATGAGCTTCGTGAATCAGACATATCTTTCCAAGAAACTTTTCTTATGTTGGAAATAACACATACCTTTATTCTGATTATAGGACTGAGAAACAGCTGAGTGAGCAAAGAAACAACATTAGTCTGGGAGTTGCTGATGGTAACAGAGTAAGTTAAATGCTATATTGCTTATGCTTGTGTATTCCGGAATCCATTTGTTGTCTTTAGTTCTTTTCCAATAGGTATGACATTGGTCTTTTTGTTTCCCTTTGTAATAAAGCAGCCATCTGAGGAATCAGTGTCCGGCCCTGGAGGTAGGTGCAACTCTTACTTGATACGCCCGCCTATCTCTCCTGCTGTTTGATTTCTCTTCTTTCGCCTTTGGATGCTAATGATTGTTCCACTCCGTGTTTTCATGTTTTATATATACATATCTTGCTTTTGGTTATTTCAAGCAGGATCGAACTTGCTTCTGCCATATGTTCCATATATCTTCGCATTTATCTTAGCAACAACATTAACATAAGTGAATTGGTGGACTCCATTAAATTTGCTAGATGGATAATAGACAGATTGCTTTTGTTCACGACAAATTCTCTTGGTATCATAATTTCTGATTAAAGAAATCGGATCCTAGAATTCTGAGTATGACTGTATGAAGTATTGTTGAATGCAGATTCTCTTCCGTCCTTGAAGGCAAGTGAAGAAAACATCAAAGGTGGAAAATCTACTGGTGCGACAGTCTCATATCTGCCATCAAAAGCTGCTGACAAACAAAGTTCCTCTGGTTCCTCAGGTGGGAGACAAGTTGGTCAAATTTCTGGTAAAGCAAAATCCGAGAGCTCTTCTGGGCGGCCTAGCAGCTCTGCTTCCGCGAGTTCCGAAAGCGCTGCTGCCTCTGCTCCTCCTCCATCCGCTTCTGGTCGTCCTGTACTATCACCAAGCTCGTCAGTCGGATCTTTGTCATCAGAAAAGTCCACACTCAACCCAAATGCCAAGGTTTTTTTCTTTTAAAAGTTTCGTTTTTCGTATCCTTCCCTTCTCATCCTCCTCCTGTGTACATACATAGATTGGTCAGTGACAAGCTTTGGATTGTATCAGGAATTCAAGTTGAATCCGAATGCAAAGAGCTTCAAACCGTGTCAATCAGTTGCACGGCCTCCTTCTCCAGTTGCAGATGGATCCTTCTACTATCCTGCTGTCCCGCAGATGTCCGGGATGCCTGTTGGTTATGGAGTAAGTAAAAACACCATTTGCCCATCATTATTTTGACCCAAGCAGGGAAGATAATTCAAATTCTACCTTTCTTTTCTTTTTTGGTTCGCGATTGGTCTTCTTCGGCTATTTTAGCAGATGGGTCCGGGATTTCCTGGTGCCCAGCCCATAATGTATACTCCACAGCTCGGGCCGATGCAAGCGACTCAAGCGTACTTTCCTCCGAATGGGTACCAGCCTCAGGTTTGGCCCTACAACTCTCACTTATCAAAACCCTCTGGCGATGCCATTGATAATTCCCTGGAACTAACAATAGTGTTTTTGGGTTGATGGAATCGTGTGTAGTACCCGCAGCAGATGATGCCTGGTCAGCCTAGACCGGTAGTGTACATGCCCCCATATCAGCCGGTTAGTACAGCATTCCCTTGTCTGAAAGAGAACAGTATTCACTTTCAGGACGGAGATTTAATTTTAGGGTTCGTACGGTGAGGTTGATTTTAGGTGTTGTGTTTGAGCAGGAAATGCAATACAAGGGACGAGAGTATTAGCGTGGAGGAGGATACGGTGAAAATCCATGTGTCTTGGGCTCTCTGATCTTCTAACAGAGCGAGTGGTTTCATTATTCTTCTCTCTCTCCCTAAACCTCCCTTTTTCGTTTTGGTTTTAATTTCCTTGAAAGGAATTTATGGTATGAATATTTAATTACATTCTGATGAGGAGATAAGACAAGACATGGAGGAAAATAAAACCATTGTGACTTGGTGAGATACTCTTTATTCTATTTATAATATGTAATCACAGACATTCTTTTATCCCTTTAATATATAGTAGAGTTAGGTTGAGTTCATGTCTAGGTCAGGTTACCTTTATCATATTCAAAATATTCAAGTTTATAACTTTATACCAAACTTTCCTAGTTTGTGAAGAAAGAAGGTAATGCAAGGGTGGGCAACAACTGTTAAATCTTTTTAAAAATATACTGGAGTTATACCGATGGTGTTTTTACTTGTTTTTATATAAAACAGAACGTTATACCAAATTTACCTGAAAAAGTTGCTTGATAAGCAATTTTTATTTTGTTCAGTTAAAATCCACGGTGACTAAATGATTAATGATAAAGTCAGAACTTATCCAAAAGAAAAAATAATAATTAAATTACTCATGGCATCATTTTTAATTATAAAAACGTTAAAAGCCTAATTTGAGTAGCCCATACAAATATAATGGAGAAAAAAATAGTCAAAGCCCATAACAATGGCCCAACTTTGGAATGCATACCGTTTTGATCATGAAAAAAGGAACTTCGTGCCGATGGAAATGCTTGCCTTTAACCCGTCATCATCCCTGCAGATGGCTCAACGCGCTCCTAAAGCGCGTGAGTGACACCTCCTCGAAATCCCTGGACTCTAGTCCATCAAAATCCCGCGTTTTCCAAAAAAACAGCCTCGCGAGAGGGACGGTGCGCGTGGGCATCCGTTACTCGCTTCTTCACGACATTATATATATATATATATATATATATATATAGTTATTTTAATCGTAATTCAAATCATATCAGTGAGTATTCTCAGTTTATCAATTCAAATTCGAATAAGAATGATTAATATATCTGAAATCAAATATTTAATCTATGCACCATATCTACAAATTCATAACTTTATCGAATCTTAGACGACCACAATATATGGTTAGAACATTCTCAAATAAATAGCATTTGAACT